AAGTTTTGGATTTGTGCAAATAAAACCACTTTGTGAAGTGCATTGCAGATGCTTTGCATGCTTCTTCTACCCCAGCACAGGAAATAATTAGCTACAAGTTCAGACGTCAGCTACGCGGTCATTTTTCGATTTTTGCTCACGATCATTGCCTCTTCGAGAATTTTAGTCGAAAACTGATCGTATCTCCTTTAAAAATGTCTCAAAGAAGGTGTTATTTATCGTCAGCGATTTTCCAAGATTGTAAGGTCAACAAACCTTAAGGATTAGCCAATAGTGCTGCCGTAATTTTTTTTCTTGTCGCTAGTTCGATAACTTACACTACGATCGGGTGCGGCCAAAATACATGTCAATATATAACGAAGCTTTTACCTGCAATTACTAATGGCATACGCTGCTCCCAGGAGTATTGTTACTCAATACTTTGAGAAGCGGTGTTGCTGGTATATTTGTATTTACATGCATCAGTATTAGCGTTTGTTTGTAGTTAAAACGAACTCAGATTAGCCAAGTGGAGTGGTTATATTGTGGTAGCTTCACTTTCATGATCAAAAGTTAAGATCCCCTTAATGAAAATGTGTATCACGTGGTGTTTGAAATTCACAGTGGGGTTTTAAGCCGGATTCTACACCCGTCGACGTTCAAAATAGTCTACTGACCAGATCGTGTATTAGAGCAGAGTATTTGGTATATATATGGATCTGTTGGTAAAGACGTAGGAACAAAATAAGCATTGGGTTTATCATCAAATCAGCAGGTAATCAGCCGCATCTGGACCTTCCTTCACTACAATGTTTGTGCCTACGATGGCAAACATCCGCAACGAAGTCCACCCGGAGAGTAGTGGCTACTACCATTTGGAATTCAGTATGATGATTCAGAATCTTTTGGGTGTCTAATGGCTGTCAATGGTGAGAATGACATCACAGTAAAGTGGCTCTATATGACGGCAAGGCATTGCGTTTCATCGCGCAAGACGTTGAGAATTAGCACGATCAGCCACGAAGAGTAAAACTACATGAGCTTTATAATCGCTCGACACTGCCCAATCGCGTGACGAGAACATGAAAGCTTCACGACTTTATACTAGCGTGGCGAAACATCCAGTTTAATTTGACGAACTAGTTGTGGGTGTCGTTAATAGACGAGTCGCACCCACTGGTGGTACTTACCAACGGTCTGACGTCAGAATATGATTTGGATTCATCGATTATAAAAAATACGAAAAATATCACTTTGACTGAATTGATAAAGAGCTATCAAATAATAAAAGAAGGTGCATAGAAAGAAGGCCACGGATAAAGCATTTTGCTTGAATAAGAATGCTGGAAGATTCAGAGGTGGACGAGGTAACGTTTCAAAATAAGCACTATGCGCAATAACGGCGACGGTAAGCGCGAGAGTTTTCATTGTGACCAACTTGGTTATGTAAAGCGAGATTGTCCGGTCGAAAGCGTGTCTGCGATGATAATGCGGCATTTGCAGTGGGTGAAGGACGATCGGCAGGGTGGGTTATTGATAGTGGCGCCGAATCCGCGCAGGAAGGACTAGCTCGAGTTCCTGAACCTTGAGACATGCATCAGGGTGCAATTGCAGACGACAGGATGTTACTCGTTAAAAGAGCTGGCAAAGTGATATTGACCGGTTTATGCGGAAATGGCACTTGCATGAGCAATGTTTGATCTTTTTATACCCCAGGAATTGACAGAAGATTGTTGCCGGGAGGCAAGCTTGCTGACGCGGTATGAGTTTCGAGGTTTTTTAGCCTTCGTGTGTCCTCTGCGACAGAAAAAAGGCGATTACATCGGGTTCAAGAATCGGCAAAGCGTAAATGCTTGACTGTTAGCGTGATGAAGCATCTTACGCGGTGCAGACACTCAGTGGGAGCTTTTGCATGAAAGTATGAGACCCCAAAATAAGGATGATTTACTTACGACAGCCCTCGCCAAACGACATCGCGATGATCAGAAAAATCAAACAGGAATATTCTGTGCCGAGAGTTTGAAGCGTGATCCTACAGTCACAGCTCTTTCCTGCCGTCGATGGCAAAGATGACGTGTCTTCTAGAGCGCGCATTCACAAATATTTGGGCCCAACGAGGGCTCGGTCGAAGGGAGGGGCAAACTTTATTGACATTTTTTAATGTGCTGCCATTTCCTTGATCTAGATTAAAAATCAAGTATTAGACAGCTCCGAGGAATTAAAAACTCTTTACAAAATCGATGGGGTCTCGAATTCTGATAATCCAATAACGGAACAGAATCAGTGAGCAAAACGATGGTGAACGTGTGTTGTCGTACAATGTCGTCGTAGCGGCATTGTTCACCAATGTTCCGTTTCATGTAGCCCATATCATAAAAGGTCGCTGAGCGCATGACCAGGGCTATATTGGTAAAAGTCTCGTAATTTGCATTTTTAAGAAATTCAGATGAATGGTCAAAGAAAGCAGTGAGAACAGCAAATTGTTAGATATGTCGCTCGACAAATACATCCCGTTTCGACATCAAAGCACATAAGTTTGCTTTTAAAATGATCGCCTCGAATGTATCGCTAATGTGTGTTCGAATCACGGGGTTACGGTTATGTCACGATCAAGAAAACAAAATCCGATTCAAAGAGTTTCAATAAATGTCTCGCAATTACGCGGAACATGTCAAGAAATATCGCTTGTTTGTCTAGAAAAGGGCAACCTTTACCCGCTCTATGAGGTTAAATCAGCATGAACCTTGTGGAAATAACGATGCGTATATGCTACAGGCAGAAGCAACAATCGAATTTATGAAAGAAAAGTGATGATGATTATGTTCAAAGTCAAGTGGATCGATAGCCACATCTTTGAAATCTGTCAAAGAATCAGTCACAGATGTCAAAACGATAATAATGAACATGAGCAGAATCAAACATGGATATTAATGCCAAGATGAAAGAACTTTCGCACAATTGACTAACGATGGTACTTTGCCAAGAAGCAAACTGTCGTGTGGTACATTTCAAGTAAAATATGAAAGACTTTTTTTTCGATCGATAACATTAATTTAATTCGGATGGTCTATGCAGTATGTGCCGAATGCGACTACCAAAAAAATTACCTGGATGTCGATACTGCTTTTTTTAGCGGTATGCTGACGACAACGTTGAATGAAAGTTCCGCTGGGTGTCGACAATGCTCAGAGTTACGTTTGTCGATTTCATTGAGCCTATATATGGGTTGAAACAAGCAGCAAGTGCGTTATCAACACAACACATCCTGCCTTTGTGAACAATGGCTCTAAGGGCTGCGGAGGGGAACAGTGCGCTTGTGTCAGGCAATCTCTGAAAGGTTAAATTTCCGCTGAGCTATAAGAGTGGATGACATAATTGTCACAAAAAACTAAGCGGGTAGATCTTTTAAGTCGAAGACGCTCTTGAAAATATATTCCAAATGAAGGAGTTGGCAAGGCGGAGCTCATTTTTTGCTTTTAGATCGACCAAGCAGGTCATCGGAAACACTTATGATTAAGCAGACTGCTTCATCGACGGATTATCGAAAGTCCGTCTGCATTAGATGTTGTCGTCACCGTCGTCGCCTAGAACGGAAGAGTGTCGTTTGGTGGTGCATCATATCAATCCTTGGTGAAGTTCTTGCTGTAAGTACTCGACCAAATATTATATACGTGACAATACTGCTGTTACGTTCCCCGAAGAACCCCGGACTGCAACACAGAAATTCAGTCATTTTCGTGCTACGTTATCAAAAGAGCACGTGACTAACCGGTATCGTCTACCAAGGTAGTAGCAACACTGCGGTGAAGGCATAATCAGATCCTAATTGAAGCTGCTATATTTGACGACAGACGTCCGATCTCAGGAGTTACGGTCATGATTGCAAGCGCGCCATTGGTCTTCAACTCAAAGTACCTGCGGACCGTTGCACTCAGCTCGGCAAAGACTGAATGTATGGCTTTCAGCCTTTGGACTCAAGAAAATTTATTGACGTGTGCAATGCTTAAGAACATCCATTACTAGCAAGTGGATACAACATAAGTTTAGGAAGACTACCAAGAGGCAATAGCGTCAGCCAACATCGTCAGTTCATGATCGGACAATGCACTTGGACATATGACACCATTTCATACTCAAGAAACAGCAAGATAAAATTTAAAAAAATCGGCACAAAGCGTCAGATGCAGATATGCTAACAAAGGTGTTGGCAGCCAAAATACTTGCATTTATACGCAAAGCAATACCATTTTAATGCCAATGATCAACAAGGATCAACAACGAGTGGGAGCGTTGAGATTAATCCGCTCAATATTGTTGAAGAACGATGTTGTTGTTATGTCTATTTTACATGGTTAAGTAGTACATTTTGTTCATGCAAAAAACGAAGTCCGATAACCCCATCGGTTAACGCGTGGTGGCTTCACTTCCATGAATTCTGCCTAAGATAAGTTTAATTACACGATGTTTAAAGGGGGATCTAAAGTCCCCTAATTCGTTTTATGTTTACTGACCGATTGTATATTATGGCAGAGTATTTTGTTAAAAATATAGTAATGATAGAAATATGAACATAATATTTTTTTCATTTCTGGTTTTACCATCAATTCAACGCTTTTTGTGTAAAAAATTGTAGAAACAATCTGTAGCTCTACAATTTATCTGAATCTTGTGAGCGCACATTATTATTTACTGTCATGAAATACTTAAAATCGTACGTACAATAATAATAATATGCTAATGTTCAGATAAAAATAGTCGTATGAAGTGCATAGAGTAGACTGCAGAATTTTAGGACAACAAACATCGTATTTGTTGACCCATGTGAAAACCATTCATTTTAGTTCTCTCAACCTTCAAGCAACTTCTTTTCACATCTCGACCATATGCGCGTACCAGCTTTCTCCTTCTTACTGCTTCTATTTGTTGCTACGATTCTGCTTGTCGATGTCTTGTTGGCGCTTTTCACCACGACTCAAACTCTTTAAAACAATCAGCGAAAGGCAACACTTCGCCAGCTGAGAATGCAAGACTCACGAGCTAAAAGAAAAGTGATTGGTGATGAAGAAAGAATGATTAAATTTCCATTTGATTTGAACGAAGTTCCACCCATCAGACTAACAGATATGCTTCGCGACTTCCAACTACATCTTAAAGTGCGTGGCCAGCAAGGAACTACTACTTCAGCGGGACCCTCGCAGCTCTTGAATAATGACGAAGTGGATTCTACTTTTGTGACACAATTGGAGGAGGCACTCGCTGAAACAGACTGGACAGCATTGAAATCGCATATTGGTCAATTAAACGATGCTTTCCGTCATATGAAAGCGCCCCTTCAAATTTTATCGACGGAATCGGCAGATCTCAGCCAGTTCGGCCCCTATTCTCGACTAATTCTCTCCATCGCTCTTCAACTCACACGGATATTCGATGGCCAGGAAATAATTGAAGACGTCTGGATTTACATAGTGAAACACTTGATACACTACGGATTTAGCCGTAGAGAAGTGGAGCTAATATTGCGTACTGCTGGGTACGACGACATCAAACTCTATATCACTTCATATGATCAAATCATGGCTGCATTGTCTGAAGAGGACATTCTGAATTTTGTGCTGCTCATCGAACCTGATTCCACCGAAATCGCTGACAAATTCGCTATTCGTTCTGCCAACTTGATTGCAAGCAGAACAGAATTCGACCAAGCTCTCACAAATAGCAAATGGGCTGATTTTCTAGGTACGTGGAACCGCGCCGGATACGATCGGGACAAGGTGGAAAAGTACCTTGATAAAACCTTTTTAAGTGAGAGTGATAGACACAACCTACTGAGATACTATACAGCACTCATCAGTAAGCGTTCGGTATGAACATACTCCTCTAAATGAACGCTGTCGATACAATTAAATGCGAAATTGCTGAGAAGTTTTCGTCTCGCTACTTCAGCTTTACATTTCGCAGCTATGTTCACACAAAAAAGTAACTTGTTCTATAGGACAGAGTCGTAGTAATACATTACACATGAGTTTTAGATTTCTCTTTATGTTAAATGTTGCTGCAAAGAACTTTAACGATAATAGTATCTGCGATTTTTCGTAAAAGATTTCTTACATGAAATGCTCGCAATTGTAAGAGAGAGCACTTCTGGCGGGCGAAATGTTGACCAATTGTGGGCTAGTGATGCATATGTCGTCCACATAACATGTACGGAGGCTTTAAGGGAGATTAAGCTGGTGCTTAGACTCCATCCTCACGTTGCTTTTTTCTCTTTGACGCCGTAAAATTTTAAAATATTTCGTTTTCAAACTGGCTAAGTTTACCGTATCTAATTTACGATGTATGACATGTCATTCAGTCGATGTGTTCATCCAATACATATTTTGTATCTAAAAATTTGTACCTTTTTAATTGGAGAAGACTATTATCTTTCGTTACTTCCCATGTATTTAGCTAATTCTACCACCAAACGGTAAAATATCGACCGAGCGATTGAGCCAGAGGATGAGTCTATGCCAAATCAGGCTGTGCATCCAAATATTAAGTTTGAACCTGCTTAGACGTATTCCGGACTTTTCCGAAGAAGATTGCTGGGGCAATTTGATAAAATTCTAAAAAGAAGATTTGCTGGTCTATAATATTTACGTACTGTTCTTTGTATGTAATTAGTAGCTTTAATACGGGCGCCGTGCAACTATGTGCAAAACACAATAGAATGTAGTGAGTGGAATGCGATAAATGTCTCGCGATTGTGGTAATAATTATAGAGTCAACGAGCCAATAAAATGGGTTTGATAGCGAAAAAAAATCTTTTTGAATTTAGACTAAAATCCAAGCACAGAATAATTTTGGTAATGACCCGTATGAAGCACCGTTGGCCATGGATCAACTGATAAGGTTAGGTACAACGCAGTTATTTCATAGTGGAGCTTTTAGATTTCTATGACCCCTCATTTGCTTAAAAGCGAACACACTTTAGTACGTACATGGAGCTGCGGTAGCTTGGTGCAGGACATGATATTGTCCAAAAGAAAAGCAGCGATACTATTAGTAGCGCTGGAAAGGCTCGGACAACAAGAACGGCTGTAAGCTACAGCTCTCGGGACAATATTCAATTTACAGGGATCTGAGACCTTGTATGTCGAGGTCTTCAGAATTCATACTCGTTAGAACAGATAAAGACAGCTTTGATTTCGAACTTCTTTAACTTTTCTCGTTGAAACGAAAGCCAATTTTTAATAGTCGCGATTTCCAGACTAAGGCTATATTTGAACGAATTGGGGTGGTGGTTTTTCGAGATAAATCTGTGCGTCAAAAGAAGAAAGAACAGGTCTTGATGTCACTTAGGATTGTCGATTCTTGTTACAACGCGATGATTTGTTTGAGTCCGCAGCACCGAGTGATGTGCCCACCGTCCAAAACAGAAATTCACGGATTTGAGCAATCAGAAAATATTTTAAATGAAGTGACCCTGAAAGCCCTAGGTATGAGGATCGCTGCTCTAAACATTATGAACAAGCTCTTGTGAAGCCCAATGTACTATCATTACGGTAGTATGAAAGGATTTTCGGCACATTAGCATAACACAGTATCTGAAATTGATCCACCTTGGTCATCAAGCATCACCGGCAAGGGTCAAACCTCTCTTGGCTGGCTCTCATGCTGTCCGAGGGTCTCAGTATACATCCAAAACTAAATCTAATTAAACTTGAAATGACTTCTAAGCTTCGCCATCGCATCAAATCTTTCAGAGCATCGTTGCTGCTCTAAAACAGAAGGTCGCGCAACTGCAGGAAGAGAATTTTTCACATGCAGCAGGGTCGCTCGCATCTAAGTAGCTTGTAAGAGCAGGGGAATGGTACGGGAATAGTTACCTTATGTAGACACAGCATGTGCTTTTTATGGAGTTTTTTTGGTAAAGCTGAATTTCGTGTTCAATATAACGTGGGTGCAACTAGGTGTCATAGATCGCAACCTTAGCATGTGCAGGTAGCCTAACAGCGTCAATAAAACCTTTAACTTTATGACATATCCAAATAAAGCTCTGAGCCTTTGGCATCCGGAGGTTGCCCATGGACATTTTGGCTTTCAGCTATGACTTCACTCACACCTAACGTTCGACGCTTAAACTCATTGAGATAAAGCACTCTTTATGCTTCAAGGATAAGTCCGGCTGATGCTAGCGGATCAAGTTGGTTTGTGAGACTCCCACCACTGACACCACAGCCATCGTCGAAGGTACTTGATAGAGATCCAAATGTAATGATTGAATATCTCGTGAGCTTGCCGAGGTATGTACTGCAATATTTAGCGCAAAACTCAATAAGTAAACTGACTCAATTGAGCAGCATGATTCTCCTTTGCAATTCATTTAAAAGATATTTTTATTGATAAATTTCACGTGCTTCCTGTGACTATCCATTTGGGAATAGTCAATTGTTAACTTATCCGATTTGGATTGGCACCTTGAACAATGATCGCTTAAGTTAGCTGTTTTATGCAAATCTCTTCAAAATATTGTGACTTCCAACATACCATATTGGCAAAATTCTTTGTTGATGAACAGCGTGGCCCCACCTCCTACTGCACTGTTGATAGCTAGCCAGATGCATCATTTTGCTCAGGCAGTCCACAAAGACCTTTTCTTCTCTACTACAATGTCGAAATCATCAAACATGTTATTTGTAAGATAGAAATAAAGTGTTTTTATGGTCGGCCAACACTGCCAGAACCAGCAGGCTGTCCAAATGCACCGGCATTAACAGCGAGAGGTTAGCAATACGCCGTCGCATCTCTTCATGTACATAGATGACTTACCACCTAATACATGTTAAGCCATAAATTTAATATGCTCACCGAGCAGTATGTTTTCAGCTCCATTATTTTGTTAAGTTTGATGGTCGCATAATAACTTCAAAACAGTTTGTGATCAGTATACCAACTCATGCGCAGAGATTCTCGTGTTTTCTGTCGCCCGTAAACGATCAAATCATTTTAATGCCTAGCCAGGATTATAGAGGGTCGCATTTAACGGCGAAGCCCAACAAAGTTGAATATTGATTGGCCTACGGAGCAGCTTCTGGCCGCATACAGTCTGATCAGACATCATTTTCTGAGTATCAGACGCCGGTCCAATCTCGATGTCAATATTATCTGGTAGAAGACGTCCACAAAAATGGCTACTTCATTGTCAGCGAAAGAGCTCGCTAAAAAATACCGTCAAGCTTTCTTGAGACAGAAAACATTAAATGTGTCGGTTCTTAAGGGCTATCAAGAAAAAATTTGCAGGCAATGCCCTGATTCTTCAGTGACATGATTAGCTCCGTTGATTAAAGCATATCCCATCACTAAGGTATGGAAACAAATTCGCAAAACGCATTGTAGATGCGTTGCACGCTCCTTGTACCTCAATATAGAAAATAAATAGCTTCAATTCTTGTTAATATTACACCGCCGAATGCATGTGGATGATTAAGATTGCTGATTACGGACATAATGGTAGTCGCTCATTGGTC